CCCCCCCACCTTTTAAGTCAACAAATACTATTAAAGCCCCCCCTTCTTTGTGTGATTTTTTTTCAAAGACTCCCTACTTTTCCTTGGCCGCCCAAACCCCCGCCCCCCAAGGCATAATTAATGAACAGTCCTTAGTACTAATGTATTCAAATACCTTCAAAAGCAACATTCAAACGCATGAAAATATTTCACCATTCAACTGTTGAATTTATGTAGAATCAATACTGAAAGTATCGTATCGGGAGTGACAGGCGACAGAAAAACGACAAGTCCTCTACTTTCACTATTTTTTCATTTAACTGAGTTTAATGCTCCAAATTTTTTAACGTTTCATTTGTGTCACTGCTGCTCGACTTGTGACGAAATTTTCTACTTAGTATTCACGAAAATGTCAGTTTTCTGCGGATCAAAATATCACCTCTCCCAAAGTACTMGTCTTTATATCTCAAATACGCATTCAATAAATTTTGGTATCGTTTGATATTTTGCTTTATTATATAATTACCAATGAAATATCTATTTTTCTCTATTTCGATCAACTGATATCTTCACATGTGAAAATAACGTTTCACGTGTGAAAATAACACCATTGCGATGGCTATTCAAAAATACACGGAAAGAATTGCCTGAAAAAGCCAAAACATATTTTCATTGATAATTATATAATAAACAGAATATTACATGGGCGCTTGGAGATACGAAATTTATCTTCTCGTGTAGAAAATCTCTCACTTTTCAACACTCGAAGATAAATTTCGTATCTCCGCGCGCCCATGTAATATCCTCTATATTTGGCTCCAAAAGAACGTGTTTACAAAATATTGAGCTTATTTAAAAATACGTAGAGCTATCCTTATGGCGAAAGGCCAAAAACCGTTTTTTCTACCCTGTCATCAGGAGTTAGGTGCACTTTGCCAAAATGGATCTAACCGCACAGAATCTTGCATTGAAAATAACGAAGGGAGGGGAGGGGCCGCTGTGAATCTTGAGAACCAAAAACTTGGTAACCTCGCTTATAGTGCCTAGTCCCCTACCGGTCGTGTCCACGGTGGCAAAGTTTTGATCAGAAGGAAAAGATTCCCATAGAAATCTTACAACAAGACTTGATTCCTCTGCCTTTGAACCAAAATCTTCCCTGAAAACAAGATGTATAAGGTTATTATTCTCATTGGAGGTCCCATGAAAGGTAAGCGATTGATTACCTTAGTTCTACGTTTTTCGATCCATTGGATGTTGGATTTGTCAGAAATGTTTATAGAATTTGAGGCTTATTTTATGATCATTGACTTTATTTTGTTCTCACGGTAAAATAAAAGAATTCCAAGCTGATGCTTTTGATTATTTTGTCTTGTAGGGACGCGATTTCGTCCTCTTTCTTTGGAGCTTCCAAAGCCGTTGTTCCCAGTTGGAGGATTTCCTATCATACATCACCACATCGAAGCTTGTAAACAGGTTGGTATTTGTTGTTTTAAATATCGAGATTTGCTGTACTATAACTTCAAACTTCATTCATAATAAATTATTAAATTACCCTTTCTTGATAGAAGATAGGATATAACTACGTTAAAAGTTTAGGCTTTACTGTTTTTCAATTTTTTCTTTTGAGGAGTTTTAATTTATCTGTTATTATATAAATTTTACTATGGAAGCTTCCTGCCTTGATGAAGTGACGTGGAACGTCTTGTCCAGTTACAAACTCTTGTTCCCAACAGACCTTTTAAGCTTCATATGGAAATTACCCATTTCAGATCACATGACATTCCCTTGAGAAGCATTGTAAGTTCTATTATGACAAACGAGTTAAAATATTATTACTATCACTCATAAATTTGGTTAATGCTTTTTTTTTTGTCTGAAGATCCCAGACTTAAGAGAAGTGATTTTGATAGGTTTCTATCAATCCAGTGAGCCACTATCCAAGTTTATTGCATCGGCACAGCAGGAGTTTGGAATAATAATAAGGTAAACTACTCACTGACAAACTAATCTACCATCATGATATGACTAATGCTCCATGAAGTCAAATACGAGGATTGGTAGCTCAGTGGTTAGAGCATGGCACCAGAATCGCAAGGGCACGGGTTCAAATCCCATTCAAGACTCAGAATTTTTTCTGAGTCTTTCAATTTGCAGCTGCATTAGTTGCTTCATATACTGCGAGGATCAGCTCAATTTGATATGATACGACTAGTCAGTTATATTGCATTAGGGTTTTTCTCCAAGTTCTCTGCATGTTTTTTTAGGAAATGATATGTGGTCAGAATGAGAAATTATTAGGGCTTTTTTGTATGACTGTGTGTGAAAAGCTCACAGCATGAACACAGTTATGACATGGCAAGGCTTGCACTAGACCAATCACATTACAAGATAAATATTTACTCTCCATCCAATCAAATACCTGAAACAGGGCATGAACATGGTGTGGACATGATCACTCTAAAGCCACAGCACTGCCTTAGTATACCAGATCAATCACAATGTGCAAGAAAAAAATCAGTCAATAAAAATTCTAGGAAACATGATCTCGGCAAGGCACACATATATGGTATCAAGCTAAATAGCTGTCTAAGATCATGTTAACACTTGGTTCCTGAACATGGTGCTCCAAAGCACAATTTGTGCCTTTCAATAAATGTTAGGAAATCTATGCTTTTGAATTACCCAGGGAAACTTCAGGGTCTGGTAATGACAGTGCCCAAGCACAAGATTGGGACCTTGTACACTTGGACTCAAAGTGCCCCATCATTCCATAGGGTACTCCAGGGTAAAAGAATTGGGCATGCTCATTGAAAATGTTCAAAAATATGTACCTTTAAAAGATACAAGAAATCATTTGAAAAGGGCATGGCTGGACATTTTCAACCCCTAGGAGATACTGACACAAAAATTACACGTATAAAATGTTCAAAATATTTAGTTCCTGAGTTCGAAGATGTGCCTGAGCTACAATGTATGCATAATTATTATTAATACAAAAAGCAATGGGCTCTTTCTTTTTCAATACCCTAAAATTCTAAACTTTATATTTTGACCCTAATTTGATATACCAAATAATTACGAATTCTTTCCCATAAGAGATACAACAAGCATGTACCCAATATTTTTGCCAAAGAGTCTCTCTATAAATATACAGGTACCCCCCTTCTGAGCCAATCACTTTAAGTACAAACACACTCTAAGAGTCCGTGGTATTTYGAGGGTAATATCCATGGTATCCCATTCCTTCCCTTCAGATACCTTCAAGAATATCAACCACTGGGTACCGTTGGCGGCATCTATCATTTTCGTGACCAGATATCATTTGGGAATCCAGAGGGACTGGTAGTGATCAATGCTGACATTAGTTGTGACTTTCCATTCAAAGAACTCCTAAAATTCTACAAGCAACATCCAGGGAAGCATGCTATTATGGCAACAGAGGTAAAAACATCAAAGATACAGTGACACTTTATCTTTCTAACTCCTCTTAGTTACGGTTGGTATGTCCCACAAGCTAGGGCTGAACCATGATTGGTTGTTTTYGGAGTATTATCAAAATGGCAAAGAAAGATTACACAATGGTTAAAGTTTGTTTTTGTYGTTGTTGTGTGCAGGCAAACAGAAAGCAGGCTCAAAACTATGGATGTCTTGTAGAAAAAGAAGATTGTCATGAGGTATAATAATAGTCCTTTTTCTCATTCGGTAAATTATGTGTTTTATGACTACAGACTCATTTGTACGGGCTTAGCCTCGTTTAACAGCCAATCATTTGCAAAAGTCAACTGTAAT